ATCGACGGTACTGTACTTCTTCTCGTGTTCTGGTGCGGAGGCCTCGCTGGAAATTGCTGACCTTGTATCTTTCAGTCATGTCACAGATATGCGTGCAAATGCGTCTGAACTTGCCAACATAATCAGCTAAGTCAGGCAACGTTCTTGCTTCAGGGCATACAGCTGGTCGCGAAGGCGGTCTTGAATGTCTTCAGGTTCAAAAATTCGGCTCGTAGTTCTTGCTCCAGTACTTGCAGTGTGCTCGGTGAGCTGTTCGTCGTGCGCAATCGGTCTTGATACCATGTTGCAGCTAGTCCTCGGAAATTGGTAACCACCATTAGACCACTCAACCATTTATTGGGTCACTGACACGATGCATTGTAAATTAGGAAATCACTAAGTGACTTCGAAAACGATTTTGTACAAAAATGTGTGATGAGCAAGTTCGTAATTGACTCAGTCATTTCCAATTGTGTCAAGTGGTTTCAATGGGTGTGGTGGTTTCGTGAAGAATTCAGTTATGTTTGAAGGACTTTGTCAACAAATATTGATCACACATTCTTTATTCAAAAATACCACTATCCTCACCACTTGGATAAAATTCAGTGTCCGAGTCGAAGTAGACATTTTCACCACTCGGCAAAAATGTACCCAGACGCAATTTGCGTTTTTCGCGATGTTTCTTTACTGTAACGGTACGCTTGTTTCTCCTTTTCGCTCGATGAGATGAGGCCATTAAGTACCGGTTGCGCTCATAGCTGTCATCAACTCGCAAGGGAGAAAAGCGAACGTGACAATTAGTGAGAGCAACACAAGTTTGAAGGTAGAGATCATAGTTCTCGCGCTTCCATGTAAAAGTCTCACTCACTATCGACCAAAGTGTCTTCAGACGACCAAAGAAGTTTTCCACAATCACACGGTAATTAGCAATGTTGTCATTGTACTCCATGTCGCTCATCGTCAGCAAGCCACCAGGGGACGTTTCACCGGCGTGATGGCACGCATGCGTCGATGCAGGCCTTGGTACCCTTTGTCTGCCAAGATGGCCCACTACATAGGGTACTCGTCGTTCATTGTCCACCGTCCTGCAAGTCACGATCCGCATCAGTCTGCGCATCTTCGCATCCTGTAAGGCCTCGTTGGACTCGAAAATGGCAATGTCGGCCACGCTTCCAGGCACTGCTGTCGTGACGTTGATGGCGAAATCGGTTGGTACAACGCTTGCTTCGACTTTCAGCCCGTAATGGCCATGCTTTTTCCGTAGTACAATTTCTTCTCGCCAAACGAGCCCGCAGGTGCGTTCGTCCGCTGAAAGGTGAAGTCGACAGCGTAGAGTGCGGCTGGGAAGTTGGCAAAGCGCTGACCTGTCGCGGCGAGGTGTTCCATTGGGGGACTACCGAAACCTTCGCAAACACCAATTTGATACCAGTTTGATTCCCGATAATTTGGTAATTTTTATCACCAGAGATCCGAATTGTGCGTTGTTTGCTCAAGTCGTGCAACCAAAACCCATCGCATAAGACTAAAATAATTCGACAAAACGTGGCGATTGATTGGACGATTTACAATTGGAGCCGAGGGCACAAACCTCGTCGTTCTCGTCTTCCATACTGAGCACCGCCGCCTCGTTGTCGATCTGTCGACTGATGCGCTTCGCACGCACCACGTCACTTGGGCACGTCGGGTCGCCAGTGGGCTTGGGGTGATTGCGTAGTTGGGCAATCTTTCGCTTCAAGCCATCAACGTCGCGTCGCGGAAAGGGCCGGTGTTGAACGCTGATTCTACCCGTGTCCAAGCATTGCGTCCAGCAGGGAGGATGTCCTCCACATGGTCGAGCAACAGAGCAACTGACCCTGCGCACCAACCCTTGCCTCGTCCTCTTGACATGCTCACGACTGGTGTGGTAATGAGGCAAGCGCACTCTTACTTTCAAACCAGTCGTGAGCATGATGAAGACTGGTGTGGCGGTGTCCACTGCTCACGAATTGTAATGTAAAACTTGATATTGAGTGATAAGGTGTGAATGCGATCAACCTGGTAGCATTATGTTGAGACCGTTTTGACCTCTCCTCAATTTGCGACCGATATTAATATTCGAAAAAAATTGGATTTGCTACTAGTATCAATATAATATGCGGAGGTTTTGGTTGTCCCACATTGTCCACTTGGCGGCAATGTTGTCGATGTACTTTGATTTGAGGTACGGTAGAATGGCAGTGAGAAGCGTCGTCACGCGCTTGGAGAAGGTGGGCGAGTTGACAGAGAACATGGTAGCGACGACATCCCAAGACCCACAGTGCTTCATGGATGTAACCGTCATGAACAGCATGTCACGGCCAGTAACATCACACTTGCGTCCCGATCCAATGTTCCACCGGCGATTGATGGTGGACTGTAGGTCGGACCAAAGCAGATTGAACTCGGTCAGGGAGAAATTGGTCATCTGGTGCTCAACGCTTGGGCCCTTGGCTTGGACGAAAGCGTCGAGGACTGGTGCGGGAGTGTCAAGGTCTGTGTCGTCGTCACGGAGCGTCATCGAGTGGCGTTGGCGCTTTGAGTCTCGCTTGGAGGTTGTTGAGCAGGTCGACAACATGGTTGATGGAGCGTGCCGTGACGTTTCGGTGAGATCGTTGCGAAGCAAGGCCGGCGGCTGGGGGTGGGGTACATTGAAGAAAATTTTTGAAATGGATAGCCTGAGGAGCCTCTGTGCAGCGTTTTGGCGCCAAGATTTGCATAAAGTTTGATGGAGATGGCGGTTGTATTCACAGTATACAAATTTATATTTATCAGTCCAAGGAGTTTAGTTGTGAGGACGTCTTACTTCGCTGATGTGCACAATATTCGACGAATGAATGTTGTCTAATCGGAAATGATTGAGTGATTTCCTAATTCACTCACACTTCTACTAATGATGGGTTGTACATGATGTTACGTCATCCTTGATCAAGTGGTGAGATCTTCTCTAATGCACATGTCTTTTACGATTGACTTCGTCACATCCTTTTGACAAAATCAAAGGCAATAGTGCTTCGTCAAATTGTAAAATATTCGATGTTTGGTGAAAAACGTAGTCTCAAGGTTCATGGTCTATTGCAATGCATCGGGCATGGGTTACTTCGTCTTAAGTCGGGTCGATGTTCTTCGCATGAAAGTAGGTCGTCACTTCGTGAATAAACAGGTCAATGCTTTCGTCGATTTTTCTGTAGTACTTGGGCATCTTGAGTCCTTCCACCTTGATTTCTTGCGTCGCAAGCTATCGTCATGGCGCACGGAGGCTTCGTGTTGGGCCATGAGTTGTTGGCGTTGAGTTTCTGCGACGGTTTCCATTCTTTGTTGTTGGCGTTGGATCGTTTGCAACAGGGTCTCCAAAAATTGTTCCATCTTGTTATATTCC